TCTATGTTGCAAGAAGATGTGTTATGCTGACGTGTGAGGAGAATATGATAAGTAAAATAAAATATGTGATGTTTACTGTCGGGAAGATCGCTGACGCGCGCAGGCTGTTCCAGCTCGCCTGGAATGATTGAATAGCCAGCGGATCCTAGTCAGTGTCACAATAAGCACTGTTTTTAGCACCGCTAATAGCGCCTCCATCACGAGCAATAGGACGATCGGACCGCAAATGTAGGTTAGAATCAGAAGCGAGATTACGGTGCCTAAAATAGCGATGGCTGATTTCCAGTAGGAACTTATTACTAACCATAAGGGTGTGAGGTCCGGAAAGTCAAATTTGCGGAACCAATCGAATTGAGGAGCCATCTCATAAGTTTTGGTCAGCATGCTTTCGTCCCCGTAAGGGTGGTAATGCAACATGCCGATGAGTTCCACTGATTCGTTTCTCCCGCCACAGTTGGTACAACATTCAGACTCCATTATTGCTTTGTTGAAGGACAAACGCAGTACAGTGCTTGTATTGTAGAGGTTATATTCAATTGAGAAAATTTGATCGCTGCACTGAACTGTTGTCTATGATGCGGAATATGCAAAGCAAAATAAGGAAATTAGGGCACCGTGTGTGCAACTATAGCATCCTTTGATAGTTCCGACTCGTATTGCGCAGGGCTCACTGATGCTTAGCGTGGCACTATCGAGGGGCGAGTGGACCTGATTGCTAGAGTGAATTCATACTCTGTGGATTCCGATACTACCGCACCGTTCACGCTCTTCAACGTGTAGTGTGGGGTGGGTAAGGAAAGGACGAAATCATCATTGACAAGTAACTGAGTCAAACTGTTATACGGACATAGTGGCATACGGGCCGATATCCACTTGCATTGCAGTCACAGAAGTGAGTGTTTGTGCATTGAGCAAAGTCGACTTGTGCTTGATTTGACACTTGCATTGCGATGCGAACTTGACTGGCGAATGCGTTGACTTGTGCGCGGGAATCCACACATTGGCTCCGGACCACATTGATTTGTTCCGGTTCAGAGGGAAGCGCGGAAGAGACAGATTCAGCAAGGCGCAACGCCAGCAATAGTGTTAACAACTCGAGCCTTGGAACCGAAAGTGTACGTTTTTTGGAGCTAGTTTCGTCTTACCGCTCAGCAGTGTGGAATACGCTTCGGAATCCCTTTCCATGTAGGCACACACTGCCATAGCTTGACTACTTGCGTCGGCAAAGACCCACAGCTGGTATCGCGTCACACCAATGTTGAGGGAGCATCATTCTGGGAACTTCTATGCGAACGTCATCCAACCCCTTGGAGATGGAGGTCCATTCCTTGGTTAACTTTGGTTCAATTTCTGCATTCCGTTCCTTTGTGGTTTCGGATATGGATCAGAGTAGGCACTTTTGCTTAATTAGAAGAGGGGCGCTGAACCCTATTGGATCATAAATGGAGTGGTGCTCTCTCAGGGCGTCTCGTTTTATTTTGACTCTGCCACGTTTATTCACGGAGAATGAGAAGACGTCTGCTATTGGGTTGTAGCTCACTCCAAGCAGTTTCATTGGACCGCAAGGCGCTCTGTCGCGTCGATTCGTCTAGCTGTGCGTTGACTGCACTTGCATTGCTGATGAAAGATCTCAGGTTCATACCGATTGCAGCGAAAAGTTTTTTGGACTCGTGATTTTTCTGGACTGCTTTCTCTTCATTGTGTGCAGTCATTAGCACGTTATCTACATAAAGATAGCGCAGAATTTCGCATGCTAATGGAGTGTCGAGCGATTGAATGTGAGCGGATATGACCATATTCAGCATACTCGGGGAGACCGTGGTTCCAAAGGGAACGCGTTTCCAGCGATATTCTATTACATTGTCGGGTATAGGTGGTCTCGTTGGGTTACGTGGCCGCAAAAATCGACATAAGTCTCGATGAGTCTCATCTACAGGGGGGCAAAAAAAGAGTCACTTTGCCCATGGCGCATATCATCAAACTTTTCGTCGCAAAGGATGCCGCTGTTATTGGGAGTTATACGGCAAAATATTCCTTAGATGTCCCCCATAAGCAGAATCAGGCCCACCTTCGCTGCCTTCACCGTCTCCAGAATATGACGTCATCTGTCATCACCGTCGAGCTCAAGGAGGCCTACCATAATCGCTCCATTCTGAAGCTGCTACATAATTTCTTCAATCGGATAACTGGTGAATAGCTTCTTAGAGACACTAGCTGTGACTATGCAAAATGGCTTTTGACCAGCGTTTCAGAGACGTCGTAATCGTCTATGGTTTCTCGACGACCTCGTTGAGCTCGTACCGTGAACCATGTTTCCGTGGGAAAATCTTCTGATGTCGTCGGTGTAGAAGGCCCTATGTAATTTTTTGATAGAATAGAATGTGCTCTTCAATATGCAATTGAGCTCATTCGGTTTGGTTTTGGCAAAGTGTAATTAATTCTGTTTTGAATGTGAGTGGAGTGACTCTTTTTTTTGGCCCCCCTGTATATGTATTTGAGTGAATGCCGCTTGGATATCAGCGAGGAGAATGACGGGTGGCTGTCTACTAGCAAGGATATCGTGTATTATGTTAAAATGACGCACCTGTATACAACACGTCATTAAGTGACAAACGACCTTGTTGGTGGGAGGATGCATCAAAAACTAACATCCGCTACGACCAGTAGATTTTCTCCAGGGAAATCTCAAATTTTCGCTACCAACACGTCATGCAGTCGATGGTGACGATGACTCAACTTATGACGAGGATTTCTTACAGACGGTCTCACAAGCTAAGGAAGACTTAGCGTACTCTGAAAAACTCGCAGACAGGTTCTGGAGCACTTGGAACTGCGAATGTTTAACACTGTTAAGACACATACACAAATCAAGATTCAAAACGCGAAGAGCCAACAAAAGATCAATCCCTGAATAAGGCGAGATAGTGCTGATTGAGCAAGAGTTCATACCACATGAACATTGGGCAATCGGCAAAATAACTGAGTTGGTCACAAGCGCAGATGGCAAGATCCGTTCTGCGAAAATAAAGCTTCCGAACAGGTCGGTGCCAATCCAACGGCCAGCGAGTAAACTGTACCCACTGGAAATCAGAGCAACTCTAACACGAAGCGATGATCAATCCCGAATGGCAAGTACACAGAAAAACTACTCATCGCCAACAGATACACAAAAAATCACCTCGCCCGCTCGAGCGTGCATGCCGAGAGCAGCAAAAGCAAAGGCGTATGAAAGACAAAATCAACATAAACAACGCCACGAAGAATGTGCCAGAGACGATCAACCCGGTCAAAGTAAAAACGCACGAATGGAACACCGTCCGACAAAGGGCAGTTCACTCAGTCAAGGTGTAATTACACCCCTGCTGCTTTTGATACTGCTTATCATAAGCCCGACAGCTGCTTACTAGAAAAACATCAGCTGCGCTCATGGTTTGATCTTTATTCGACCACCAAGTCCTGCGTTCGAATTGTGCGTGAACCGTTTATGCACACATTTTTCTGCACAGAAAATTCCACTCGAATTCAACTTACCAGTTTCTCCTTCAAACTCACCAACGAGAGTGAAGATTCAACATGAACAAGGCATCGGTGGTTCAGTGGTAGAATGCTCGCCTGCCAGGCGGGCGGCCCGGGTTCGATTCCCGGCCGATGCACCAAAAACTGTGCCTTCAGGCACTGAGCACGATGTGGTTCAGTGGGATTGGAACGACTTTTATTGTCTACAGCCGCTCACGGCTTGAACACAGAGCAAGAAGCCCCGCTCGGAGGGGCGGGACGCCGCGAGAACTCTGAGAGCGCTCGCGTTGACCGCGACACTCCGCGCGACGCCAAGTGGATGCATCAAAAATATTGCATAAAGCATAAACGTGAACATAGAAGCGCAAGCATGACATGACATGGAAGCGAAATAACTACGAACGTAAACGTAAACGTAAATACTAATGTGAAAAGGTACAAGTATAAATCAGGTAAATAGTTACAGTCATCGCTACAAAGGTTCAAATAACGATCACATCTCGTGCTTCTTCATGGTTCCCACTTCGGACCGTACGCCCTGAGTGCACAGTCGTGGCCTGGTGCATGCGTCCGTTAGTGACTGCGGTTGAGTTCTGGGTGATTCAATGGAATGAATGCAGTCGTTCCTAGGCAGAAAGAGCGAGTAAGGTAGGTATCGGCCAGGAGTTCGAGTGCAGTGGCAGAGAACCAAAAGACGACGGAGTCCTTTCTCGGCGGGGCGGCGGTGTAGACGATGAAGAAATGCCAGAACAATGAATATGATAGAAGCGTTAGCAGAGGGACGTGAAGAAGGAGGGCATGGGGGTCGGCAGAAGGAGGGGGATGACATTGGAACAGATGTGGTGAAATGGAGAAGAGCTGAATACCATCCATTGGAGCAGACGATTAGCGGTGACGACGTTTGAATGGTGTAGTAGTTGCTCGATCGGAACACAGAACAGTATTGTGCTCGCCTACGACAGATTGAACAAGTCACGGAGCAGTTTGCCCCATGTTCGGGACGCAGACATCGTCTGCATAGGTGGAGTTCAGAGGCTCGCATAGCTCTCGAAACAGGGTTAAGGTGTCGATGACAGCGTGCAGTGTGATGGACGTCGATATTTTCGCCCCGTGGGGCAAAATGCCCAGTTCGAGATTGGTTGTGTGCGATCCCTAAGCACACGCACGTCTTCTTGAATTTGGGATACCTTGGAAAAAACTGCTTCGAGGCGAGTCGAACATCCTGCAGACGGTTTCCGCGATCGTTTGTATGGATGCGCGAGTGTCCATTTCAATGAGGCGAAGTTCGCGTTCGATATCGTCCTCCATTGGTTGGTGGGGCAATAGAATGATTGTTTCTATGTTGCAAGAAGATATGTTATGCTGAAGTGTGAGGAGAATATGATAAGTGAAAATAAAATACGTGATGTTTACTGTCGGGAAGATCGCTGACGCGCGCGCAGGCTGTTCCAGCTCGCCTGGAATGATTGAATAGCCAGCTTATCCTGGTCAGTGTCACAATAAGCACTGTTTTTAGCACCGCTAATAGCGCCTCCATCACGAGCAATAGGACGATCGGACCGCGCAAATGTAGGTTAGAATCAGAAGCGAGATTACGGTGCCTAAAATAGCGATGGCTGATTTCCAGTAGGAACTTATTACTAACCATAAGGGTGTGAGGTCCGGAAAGTCAAATTTGCGGAACCAATCGAATTGAGGAGCCATCTCATAAGTTTTGGTCAGCATGCTTTCGTCCCCGTAAGGGTGGTAATGCAACATGCCGATGAGTTCCACTGATTCGTTTCTCCCGCCACAGTTGGTACAACATAAATTCATTTCAGGACTCCATTATTGCTTTGTTGAAGGACAAACGCAGTACAGTGCTTGTATTGTAGAGGTTATATTCAATTGAGGAAATTTGATCGCTGCACTGAACTGTATGTCCATGATGCGGAAATATCAAGCAAATCCTAAGGAATTAGGCACATGTGTGCACTATAGCATCCTTTGATAGTTTCCGACTCGTATTGCGCAGGGCTCACTGATGCTTAGCGTGGCACTATCGAGGGGCGAGTGGACCTGATTGCTAGAGTGAATTCATACTCTGTGGATTCCGATACTACCGCACCGTTCACGCTCTTCAACGTGTAGTGTGGCGTGGGTAAGGGAAGGACGAAATCATTATTGACAAGTAACTGTGTCCAACTGTTATACGGACATAGTGGCATACGGGCCGATATCCACTTGCATCGCAGTCACAGGAGTGAGTGTTCGTGCATTGAGCAAAGCCGACTTGTGTGTTGTAACCACTTTCCATCACCTACCAACAATGTCCCCGTCCCACCCCACATGACACCTGCGAGTATGGACGCTCTAGTGTCAACAAGCTGCGTAACGGAATCGACGACTTTTGCGTTCTGACGCCCCTTATCAGCCCTTATCAGTTGTAACCACTTTCCATCACCTACCAACAATGTCCCCGTCCCACCCCACATGACACCTGCGAGTATGGACGCTCTGGTGTCAACGCAAGCTGCGTAACGGAATCGACGACTTTTGCGTTCTGACGCCCCTTATCAGCCCTTATCAGTTGTAACCACTTTCCATCACCTACCAACAATGTCCCCGTCCCACCCCACATGACACCTGCGAGTATGGACGCTCTAGTGTCAACGCAAGCTGGTAACGGAATCGACGACTTTTGCGTTCTGACGCCCCTTATCAGCCCTTATCAGTTGTAACCACTTTCCATCACCTACCAACAATGTCCCCGTCCCACCCCACATGACACCTGCGAGTATGGACGCTCTAGTGTCAACGCAAGCTGCGTAACGGAAATCGACGACTTTTGCGTTCTGACGCCCCTTATCAGCCCTTATCAGTTGTAACCACTTTCCATCACCTACCAACAATGTCCCCGTCCCACCCCACATGACACCTGCGAGTATGGACGCTCTAGTGTCAACGCAAGCTGCGTAACGGAATCGACGACTTTTGCGTTCTGACGCCCCTTATCAGCCCTTATCAGTTGTAACCACTTTCCATCACCTACCAACAATGTCCCCGTCCCACCCCACATGACACCTGCGAGTATGGACGCTCTGTGTCAACAAGCTGCGTAACGGAATCGACGACTTTTGCGTTCTGACGCCCCTTATCAGCCCTTATCAGTTGTAACCACTTTCCATCACCTACCAACAATGTCCCCGTCCCACCCCACATGACACCTGCGAGTATGTACGCTCTGGTGTCAACTCAAGCTGCGTAACGGAATCGACGACTTTTGCGTTCTGACGCCCCTTATCAGCCC